ACATACCTGAACATCTAGACTTCTCTGCAGTCAGCCCTCCAAGTTGAGTGCCTCTTTCAGAACTGAGTATGGGTTCCATGGTACCTGAACTCTGAAGCTCCCTGGTGAGTCAATGGGGATACTTTGTGTACACTTTCTATTTAAAGATCAGACAGGGCTTACTCTCAGATACCATTCAAACCCATAGTTTCTAAGAACTGGGTGCTAAATCTAGTTTCTTTGGCCCTCACTTTCCATCAACACAGGAGCTGTTCTTGTTGACAACCAAGGGTTCTTTTTTCCATTGCCTGTTGCACAGGAAGCAGAGGTCACGGGGGGAGCTGCCTGTGCCGGGCATGGGTCGTAGTGTGTCTCCCTGGGCTGAACTGCTGAGGGGTTAGCCTCACAGATTCCCTCTGGGAAAGCCGTTTAAGAGTCATTCTGAATGCCTCTACTGGGGATGGGGAAGAAATGATGCAGAATGTTGAACCACTGGGCAGCAGGCTTGAAATCCTGCCTGAACCAAACTGTGCCGATGGGCTGTCCCAAACAGATGGTGCTATCCAGACAGACACACTGGCAGGGCTGCTCTGCCTGAGGCCGGCCAGCAGAGACGCTCCTCCCTATACCATCTTCTTAGAAATCTTAGTTATGGCGGGTATCAAGGTGGGGAGGGACACCCCTTGGTATCAGGGGTGAGGAGGGACAAAACATTTCCTCACTGAACTCTCATTTTCAGACAATGAAGCGTTTGTCAGAAAGACAGCCAACCTGTGGGCAACAATCGCCACTCCTGAGCCTTACCCCATTTGGGGTGCACGTGCATGCCTATAAATTTCCTCCCCTCTCCTTGGTCCAACCATAGTCCAGGAAAGCAGATTTTCCATGCTCTGTGGCAATCACAGTAAAAAATGGAAGTACAATGGAGCACTGTATCCACCCAAGCACTGGAAGGCAGGAGCTGAGCTACTCACAGACTCCCTAGAGGAGAACCCCACGTACCCAAACTCTGCTGTGCCCCCTCTGAGCTCCGAGCATGCCAAGCCAGGCCTCTCCCTCTCTCTCTCCCTCCATCTCAGCTCTTCGGAGAGAGAGCAAGCAGCCCGCGTGTCCAGACGGAGCCTTCCTTGCTAATAAACCCCTCCTGAGGCAGTGACATGTTTCAGAAGGAGCAGAAAATTACCTTTTAGGAAGCCAATGTGAGGGAAGGGGTGAGGGGACAAAGTATCAGAGTCAGGAGGTGTGCACCGCAGGAGCCAGGCTGGGGTCACGCAGCAGCCCCCCATCCCTGCAGAGGTCCGCTGAGCTCCCCATGCTGACAGCCTCAGGGAGCCACCCCCAGCACACAGCTCTCCCAGCAGCCCATGCCTGGAGACAGAGGACACTGAGGAGCACGCGTGTCCCCAAGATGGGTGGATGGAGGAGCTGTGAGCCCGGGCAGGGATGCCGGAGGAAGGGAGGAAGGCAGGCTGGAGAGGAAGGGGTGGGGAGCAGACAGGGAGGGCGGGAAGGAGGGAGAATTGATTTTCTCTCCTCCACTGGGACCACTGAGCTGAGTTGCCATGGAGAAAGGGGAGCCGCTGGCAGAGCCCAAGGCGGGCGGAGGAGCCATATGCCGGAGGGAAGGCATCAGCAGAGAGCCAATCCCACAGTTCTGCTGCTGCAGCCTCCCCCATACCAGGCCTCAGGGTCCAGGCAGCCAGGCAGGGAGGGGCACTGGCCGGACTGATGGGCAAAAGCAGTAGCTGATGGCCACCACCACACCAAGGAGAAGGGAGGAGATGGGCTTTCTCTCCTGCCTCGTGGTGCTCCACTGCCCCTCTGCCAAGAGCCTGGGCCCTCTGTCTCACGCCATGCTGCTCAGCCAGAGTTTGAAGTTGGGACCCCAGAGACTAAAGTGACCCTCTCCCCAGGCTTAGGTGTTACCTGGTGTTTGGGGAGGCATTGCGGATTTCCGCTGCCCAGCCTCCCTGTTTCTAAAACTGTTGCCAAATCCTGAGTCACATCTTCCCACCCTCAGGGATGAGGGGATGCCCACCTACGGAATGGCTCCGATGGCCCAGTGCCACCCATGTAGGAAGCAGAGAAGAAGGGAGGCTGCTGGGCACTGCAGGGGGAGGGGGCTCTCCTGGACACACCAGCAGGTGGACGGGGACTCCCAGGCTCCCCACGCTGGGTGGCATCTCCCATCACACCGGTGCCAGCCTCACTGCTGCAGCTGCCCACGTCCCAGCTTCGAAACTGGCTTTGGCCACTTGGTTCCACTCATACTGGGATCAGCAAAATGGGGCTGGAGAGAGAGCCATGAGACCTCGAAGGGGTCTCAGTCTCTCTCCTTGGAGATCACATGACTAGGGGCAAGTCTGGTCACTTCCGGCTTCTATCTCCTTATTACAGACAGAGATGATACCACATTCTACAAGCCTGCAGTCCCAGGCACTGAGACGTGGCAGGATTTTGGGAAGGCTCAGCACAGGAACTAGTGCGGTACTGGGCCCACCTCAGGAGCTGTGGTCTCCTTAGGCCTGGGAGCACAGTAACAGCATCCCCAGCCTCCTAGCTCTTCCTGCTCACTTGGCAGGTCCCCAGGACTAAGGCTTCAGCAGGCCTGCAGCCATCACCACAGCCTACCAGGCCTGGTTGCCCTGACACAGAGACATTTAAGTGGGGGGAGTGCAGCCCAATCCCATTGCTTTCTCCCTCGATGTCGTGTTTTATTTATTTATTCATTCATTCATTCATTCATTCATTCAGAGTCTTGCTCTGTCACCCAGACTGGAGTGCAGTGATGCAATCTTGGCTTACTGCAACCTCTGCCTCCAGAGCTCAAGCAATCCTCCTGCCTCAGCTTCCCAAGTAGCTGAGATTACAGGCGCCCACCACCACACCCAGCTAATTTTTGTATTTTTAGTAGAGATGAGGTTTTGTCATATTGGCCAGGCTGGTCTTGAACTCCTCATCTCAGGTGATCCACCCATCTCAGCCTCTCAAAGTGCTGGGATTACAGGCGTGAGCCACTATGCCCGGCCTCTCCCTCAATGTTTTATGATGAAAGTGTTCAAGCATATGGCAAAGTTGAAAATATTTTATAATGAACATCCATATATTCACCATCTAGATTCTACTGCTTCTTCTCACTTTTTTTATTGCAGTAAAATACATATAACACAAAATTTACCATTTTAATCATTTTAAAAGTGTTCACTTCAGTGGCACTGAGTATATTCACAATGTTGTGCTACCACCACCTCCATCTAGTTCCAGAATTTCAGCATCCCAAAAGGAGACCCATTAGCAGTTTCTCTCCAGTCCCCTCTCCCCCAGCCTCTGGCAACAACCAATCTTCTTTCTGTCTGTCTCTATGGATTTGCCTATTCTGGACATTCAGACATTCCGTATAAATGGATTCTTATACTACGTGGCCTTCTGTGTCTGGCTTCTTTTACCCAGTATCCCGTTTTTGAGGTCCATCCATGTTGTGCCATGTGTCAGTGCTTTGTTCCGTTTTATGACTGAATCATACCCCATTGCATGGATGGACCACATTCTGCTTATGTATTACCCATCAGCCAATGGACATGTGAGCTGTTTCTACCTTTTGGCTATTGCCACAGTTTTTTGTTTTTTTTTTTTATGAGACAGGGTCTCACTCATTTGCCCAGGCTGGAGTACAATGGTGCGATTATAGCTCACTGCAGCCTTGACCTCCTGGATTCAAGTGATCCTCCTGCCTCAGACTCCTGAGTATCTGGGACTACAGGCCAGATTCATGCCACTGTGCTTAGCTTCTCACTTTTAAAATGGAGTTTTCAGAGGCCAGTGAAATGTCCTAGAGTCCCCTCTAAGGGATTTGTTCTCAAAGTTGCAGGCCCAGAGGCCCCAAACTGAGTGTTCATCTCATTCTGCCTTTCCACTAAAGCAATGCTCCCATGGGTGACCAAGTAAGGGAGCTTCCAGCTGGCCCTGGGGCCCAAGGCAGAGATCCTAAAAGCCTGTGTGTAGCCCACAAGTGGGCCTCCAGCTTCCTCCCAGGTAAGCAGCCAGCTGGGCAGGGAGACATATGCATACACCAATCCCACATTCATGCTTTGAGACCAAATGAACCCTGGTGCCAGGACCACTGGCACCCACCGACTGCATGACTAGCCAGTCATCGCCCCTCTCTAAGCTTCAACTTCTCCAGCTGTGAAATGGGGCAACAATCTCTACCCCATGGGGTTGCTCTTGAGATGAGGCTGGTGCTGCCCAGTAGAACTTTCCCTAGTGACAAACATGTTGCACACCTGCGCCTTCCAGTGAGCACTATGGACAGCGCTCAGAAATTTGTGGATCTAATCACAGTTTTATGCCTATCGTCCTAGAATTAACCCCCTTAAAACATTTTGAAACCTGAGCCACATCCACATTTTAATATAGCTACTCAGCATTAACCTTTTAACTTAAAGATGGAGGGGGTCTACATCTCTCTGCAGTGAATGTCTCAACCAGACATATCCACATGATTCATTGTTATCCTATCAATGACCTGCCGTGACCTGCCACTGGCCCCAGGTGGCTACTGAGCACTTGAAATGTGGTGAGTGGGAACAGGAAATGGAATTTTTCCACGTTGTTTCACTTTAATTTACAACTAAACTTAAATAGTCACACGAGGCTGGTGGTGATTGCCCTGGATAGAGCAACTCAAAGATCTGACAAGATGACAAGTGTAAAAGGATGCATGGTCCAGGCGCAGGCCTAGCTCCTGGTCTCTTCCCTAAACCCCTCCTCTCCCTACTTACCCCACAGTGTCTGGGCAGGGGAGCAGGCTCTATCCCCAGCCCAGCTCCAGAGATGCCTCTAAAAAGACAGAAGGTGGGTGGTGGGGCTCTCAGGGTACGGCACAGACACCAGCTGGGGAGTGGGCACCACAGACTCCATAGTGATGTGGGTCTGGGAACCACCTAGAACAGGCCTCTCCTCTGCCCTGTTCTAGAACCCCTCACCTGCTGTTTCCCCCAGCAACTCCTGAGTTTATCCCTGGAATGTCTGGGCAGGGGCTGTAGAATAGGAACAGCCCCCTCTCCCCCACACACAATCCCTCATGTGGTGACAGAGACCCCCTGAGGGGATTGTGCAGAGGGTCTTGGTTCTTGGGTGGGCTGTGGAGCTGGGCACTCAGGGAAAGCTTTGCATACCCACGAAGCTGCTATCTCAGGCTCCTCTGGCAGGGAGTGTCAGGATGAGAATCCAGACCTGACGGCTACCCAGCCCTCTCACTTGCAGATGCAAAAATCCAGACTCAGAAAGGGAAGTAACTTCTCCAATAGGGTGGGGTCTGACACCCAGGGCCCCCACCCCTGCCTACCTGGCCCTGCAGGGGCCTCCTGAGAGGTGTCTCAGGAGCAGACCCAGGGGCAGGGGGCACCATGCACCCTTGTTGGATAGGCAAAAGTCTTCCTGCTTCTTGGCAGCTGTGTGGTTTCAAAGCCCAGACAGCAGGGACTGAAAACTGAGCAAGCTACCCCTCTCCTGCCCCAGTTCCACCTCTCCTGTCCCCTTTTCCACCAAAGCTGAGAAAGGAGGGATAGTGGAGACTCCAAAAAAACAGAAAAAATTTAAACACACCACTAAGTAAAACATTATTAACTACCATTGTGCTGAGCCCACAAACAGGTAAGAGTCACCCAGAGGTGGGAGCTGCAGCTGAGGATGGGCCTGTATCCCCATCCCGCAAAGCCTTCTCCTGGCTACCTCAGCAGACTGGCTAGAAGGACCAGGACATGCTCAAAGCCCTGAATGGCCTCTCTCCACTCACTCAGAGTGATGGCCAGCAGGCTCTGCCCTGCCACCTCTCTGCCCTGACAAGGCCATGGGCAAGTTCCTGCCTTGGGGTATCTGTAGTTGCCACTAGCCCTCCCCTCTGCTCAAGGACCCTTTCTCATTAAGGCCTTCCATGACATCCTTATGTAAAACTTAGCCCTGACTCTAACCCTGGCATTCCTCTGACCCTTTCTAATTTTCTTCAGAGCACTGATTGCTATCTAATACCTGACATACTTTTCTTTCTTCTTTCCTTTTTATTTCAAAAATTGTGGTAAAACACATATAACATAAAATTTACCATCTTAGCTACTTCTTTCTTTCTTTCTTTTTTTTTGAGACAGAGTCTTTTTGCTCTGTCGCCCATACTGGAGTGCAGTGGCACAATCTCGGCTCACTGCAACCTCTGCCTTCCAGTTCAAGCGATTTTCCTGCCTCAGCCTCCGAGTAGCTGGGATTATAGGCACCCACCACCATACCTGGCTAATTTTTGTATTTTCAGTAGAGACAGGGTTTCACCATGTTGGCCAGGCTGGTTTCGAACTCCTGACCTCAACTGATCCGCTAGCTTCAGCTTCCCAAAGTGCTGGGATTACAGGCGTGGCCACTGTGCCTGACCCATCTTAGCCACTTCTAAGTGCACAGTGTCATGGCATTAAGCACATTCACATTGTTATGTAACATCCCCACCATCCTCCAGAACCAATTCACCTTCCCAAATTGAACTCTCTACACATTACACACTAACTCCCCATTTCCCCTTCCCCAACCCCAGCCCCCACTGTTCTGTCTGTCACTATGCATTTGACAACTCTAGGGACCTCATCATATAATCATGGTAAGTGGAATCATACAGTATTTGTCCTTCCATGTCTGGCTTCTTTCACCAAGCATGTCTTATTGGGTTCATCTACATGTAGACAATTTTATAAATTGTCTTCCCAGGAAAAGTAGCACATGCCTGTAATCCCAGCTACTTAGGAAACTGCGGTGGGAGGATCATTTGACCCGGTAATTTTAGTCCAGCCTGGGCAACGTCGCAAGATCCCATCCCTAAAAAAAAAGTTTTTAATGGTCTGTCTCTCCTACTAGAATGGAGTCTCTGTGAGGGCAGGAATTTTGGTTGTCTGTATTCACTGCTGTATCCTCAGGCTAGAAGAACACTGGCATGCAGCAGGCACTGAATAACATTTCTAAATATACAAATGGATGGATGGATGGATGGATGGATGGATGGTGACCCTGTAGAGGTCACTGCCTGGCCTGAAGTTATATCCTCATCCCTACTGTAGACTAACTCCTGGTCCCGCCCTACTGGAGCTGAAGCCACAGGCCTATCATCCCCAAGAGGCAGCAGTGCTCAGATGTCCCACTTGATGGCAAGCTCCTCCCAGGCGGCTGCGTTGAGGCTTTTCCCCAGATATAACATGTCTATGGGAGGATTATGACATGGGCAGATGAGAGTACCCAGCCATGGAGGTGACAATGTGCCTTAAAGCCTCACAGGGCAGCAGCCACCAGGAAGCAAGATGGAGACCAGGAAGGTCCTGGAACACCAGAATTTGGCCAACAGAGCCTGAGGTGAGCACGTGGAGGGGCAACAGCCTGGGGGCATTCAGGACATGTGGAGATATGGCAGCTGGCCAGGAGCTGGGCTACAACCTTGAAGTCACTGGCCTCTCACCTTCTCCTTGTCCTGCCGGGCTATTTATAGCCTCTCTGTCTCTGAAAACTCCTTTACCCATTTTTCTGAGCTGGATGAGCTTGGTGAATTGAAGTCAGGTGGACAACCCCCCACAACCTCAGCAAGGCTGCCAGGGTGACTATACTAAGGCCAGGCCTGCTGGCAGCTTCTGCTCAATGACAGGGACCCTTGAGGGCCTGGTGAAAGTCACAGGGTTGGGGCATCCCAGGGAAGGTGGCATCTAAAGAGAGGGCAGCAGCTGGGCACCCAGGCAAACCTCGCCCACAGACGCTGGACGATGGTGATCCCAGAAGGGCTCAGCTCACCCCAGGCCTCCTCCCTGCTTCAGGAAAAACAGATAGGGACAGTGGAAAAACAGCTGTACCTTTAAATTATCCAGCGCACAGATACGAAAAACATTTGCATGCTGAAGCTGTTTGCATATTCGGTTATTTTTAGGGTGAACCCAGTTGCCTCCCCTTGGAACCGGATGAAGCCCCAGAGGCACGTAGTCCTTTTTCCCAGACGGGGGTCCTGGTGCTGTTTCCCTGGGAATGAGGCTTGAGCATGAGCTCTCTGGGACCCAGCCCCCGACCAGAACTACGCAGTGCATCCAGGCTTGAGGGAGGGACTGGAGCACCAGACACCCAAGGCTGCAACTTTGAAGATTGGCCACTGCTGACATCATTGGCCACCCACCTGGGGCCAGAAAGAGCCCCTCTGCTGCCCCCAGAGCATGGGTGAAGGGATGAATGCTCAGCCTACTGCCTCTTCTCATACCAGGCCCAGCTGATGGGAATATTTTGCGGAGATATTTCTAGAGCCAGTAGCAATTAAAGCATTTTCTCTTCCACTCCCCTTCCCCAAAACAAGAATAAATCAATTTCCCAGCTAATGATTTCCTCCATTAAATTAAAAAGAAGCAGAAAATGTTTTCTTAAATGGATTACCAGCTCTCTGCTTTCAGGGACCATGTGACCTGTCAACTCCTTTTAAGGTCTGATACATCAAAGTTCCTGAATTAATTTTTAATAAATAAAAAATCATAGTCTAAGAAGCACCACCCACATGCCACCCTCCCCTGTCAAAGGTCAGCTCTGAGCTGGCTCTGAGAAGCCAGCTTAATCAGGCCAAGAATGGCTCTTCATAGAGCACCAGATCCATTCCACAGACGGGTAAGATGAGACTGAGAGATGTCAGGTGCCCAAGCACAAAGGTGAACCTAGATTTATGGCATAGACTGTGGAGTCCTACATGTGAAACTGAGTCCTTGATTTCGAGGGGCACCTGTCTGGAGAGATACAAACAAATAGATCCAGGAGCTGAGGAGTAACTAAGTAGGTGTGAGCTAGCATCATCTGCGTGACCCAGATGGGGGTTCCTGGGCAGGACCTGGGCTTATCTTCCCCTTTTGATCCCTTGCAGCACCCGGTACAGGGTCTGCACAGAGTGCTGACATCTTGTTTGCTTCAAAAAGTCCACCCCCTACAACACAGACAAACCTCAAATACACGATGCTGAGCAAAAGAAGCCAGACACAAAAGGCCACATATTGCACCACTTCGTTCCTATGACACATCTACAAGAGGCAAATCCACAGAGAGAGAGTATGGCAGAGGCTACTGGGGGTAAGGAAAAGGGCTGGGAGTTGTTAAATTAATGTGCGCTGTTTCTGTTTGGGATGATAAAACAATTCTGGAAATGGATAGGGGTGACGGTTGCACACACTGTAAGTATATCAATGAACTGTACACATAAAAATGGTTAACATGGTCAATTCTTTTTTTTTTGAGACAGCCTTGCTCTGTTGCCAGGCTGGAGTGCAGTGGTACAATCTCAGCTCACTGCAGCCTCCGCCTCCCGAGTTCAAACGATTCTTCCAACTCAGTCTCCCTAGTAGCTGGGACTCCAGGTGCACGCCACCATGCCCAGCTAATTCTTGTATTTTTCGTAGAGATGGGATTTCACCATGTTGGCCAGGATGGTCTCAATCTCTTGACCTCATGATTCGCCTGCCTCAGCCCTCCCAAAGTGCTGGGATTATAGGAGTCAGCCACCACGCCAGGTAAATTTTACCATTTAAAAAAATACAAGGAGAAAAAAACCCACTCTCCAAAATGTGACTTGAAAATAATACAGGATGGCCAATAACTCCGTAGGGACGATGATGGGACCCTCTGCAAATTGCCCCAGCCAGACTCAATGCTTAAAGCACAGGTCAGAGGCTCACAGGGCCTGTCTTGTCATGTAGAAACACTAGGGACTTCAGAGAAGGGCTCTTTGTGTGAGCCAGCATGACTGAGCCACGATGCCCTGTCTCCCTGGTGGCCAGCCAGATGCCACAGGGCAGGAGACAGCTGAGACGGCTCCACAGACACCTCCCTAAAAGGCAGTTCCTGGTCTCTTCATTCGCTGTACCCTCTACCTGAAATGTGCTTCCTAGATATTCCAAAACTTGTTTTTTAGGTTTTCACAGGGAGGTCTTCTCTGACCATCCACAGTTGGAAAAACGCAGGGAAGGTTGCTAGAGCCAGACAGGGTAGCTGCTAGCAAGAACAGGAAAGCCAGGGCCCCAACACTGTGACATGTCAGCACCTTCATGCTCCCTGGCTACAGAAAAGCAGCTTGCAGGAGGCATCAGGTCCTGGCTCCATCATTTACCAGCTAGGGGACCTTGGCTAGTTCCTTCAACCCTCTAAACCTCGGTTTTCTCTTCTACAAAATGGGGGTAAAGATGGTATTTGTCTCTTGGGCTTTTCTAAGAACTACAATGAGATAATGCATATTAAGTGTTTAGCATATGGCTGGGACATGGTCAAAGGTCAGTAAATGGTAACATACATGAATTATAATGGAATGGCAACAAAAATCCCTCAAGTCTGGCCAGGAGGTGTGGGTCAGTGACCCTGAAGGCAGGGGAAGGGGCCCATAGGGCCAGACCACAACCACAACTACTCTTCTCAGCATGTGAGTTAACTGACTGAATCCTTTTGTCCCGTGTTGCATATGAGAAAACTGAAGCACAGAGAGGTTAGTGACTTGCCACAGGACAAACAGCCAAGAGGCAGTGAAGCCCAGATTGACATTCTGGTCATCTGTCTCCAGGCCTGAGCTGGCCACCACTATTCCATAGGATATCTCAAGGGAAGTGTGGAAGGAGACTCAGAGAAGAGACTCCAGCATGCAGAGGCAGACCCACAGCTGACTTGTGCAGCTCTGACATCTGGACATGAGCCTCTGGAAGCCCTAGGGAAAGGTCTCAGAGCAGGAATCCCTCAGGGAAGCTCACAGAATGGTTGGACTGGCCTGATTCTTCTCAAGGTTCTTTTCAGGCCCAAGACCTTGGTACTTAGTTCTGCTCAGCCCAGTCACTTTGGTTAATGCCCAAGGGTGTAATTAACTCATTCAGAATGAAGGTTAGGGCACTAAAAGAAAGGAGTATCTCCATGTCCTGGTTGATGGGGCATTCCTCAGACCCTTAGAGAGCCTGGAGACAGCTAGAGACCCAAATCCTTCCAGGGACTGGACACAGCAGGCCCTGCACACTCGTTGGAGACTTTGTGTCCACTGCTGAAGGGCAAGCTGCTTCCAACTTCTTCTCAAAGGGGATACATTTCCCTCAATGCAACTTTTTTTCTTTTTTTTGAGACAGGGTCTCACTTTGTCACCCAGACAGCTGGAGAGCAGTGGCATGATCTTGGCTCACCAACAACCTCCACCTCCCAGGCTCAAGCAGTTCTCCTGCCTCAACCTCCCTAGTAGCTAGGATTACAGGCACACACCACTATCTCCTGGCTAATTTTTTATTTTTAGTAGAGATGGGGTTCTGATACGTTGGTCAGATTCCTGACCTCAAATGATCTACCCTCCCAAAGTGCCATTACAGGCATGAGCCATCACGCCCAGCCCTCAAATGCAACTTTCTAAAAAAATGCTTAGAAACCTTTTAACTAATGATTCTCCTAGGCTACCACAATACACAATTTTTTTTCTTTTTTTTTCTGAGACAGGGTCTCACTTTCTGTTACCCAAGCTGGAGTGCAATGGCACAATCACAGCTCACTGCAGCCTCAAACTCCTGGGCTTAGACAATCCGCCCACCTCAGCCTCCCAAGTAGCTGGGACTACAAATGTGCACCACCATGCCTGGGCAATTTTAAAAGTTTTTGTAGAGACAGGGTCTCACTATGTTGTCCAGGCTGGTCTCAAACTCCCAGACTCAAGCTATCCTCTGGCCTTGGCTTCCCACACTACTGGGAGCTACCACATCCAGTTAGCAATACAGAATTTCTAACTAGTCTCCCTCCTTTCCACTCCAGCCTCCACGAGGTGGCCCAAGTGAGCATATTAAAATATAAACACAAATGAGATTGTGTTACTCTCTACCTCAGAATCCTCCAAGAACTCGGTTCACACTTCGCATCAAGTCTAAAATCTTTACCATGACCTGCAGGTCCTCCAAGGTTGAGCCCCTAACTCTCTCTCCATCATTTCCTACCACCGTTCCTGTTTTGTTTTATTCAGCCACACTGCCTTCCCTGCTTGCCTCAAAGTTTGTACCTGCTGTTTCCTATTTCCCAGATATTATATGACTTGCTTTCTAAATTTATTTAAGTTTCTACAAAGAGGTCCTTTCTGACAGTACTATCCAAGCCCCGCCACCACTCCCCACCACCACCAGTCTACACCTCTCTCTTCCCTCCCCTTGCTTACTTTTCTTCCTAGCATTTAGCACAACCAGAGTATATTTTAGGAAGGAATTTCATTTGGTTCACTGATAAATCTGTGCTTAGAACCACGCCTGACACATAAGTGGTGTTCAAAACCTCTGTTGATGGCTTTAGAAGTGAGAATGATTGGTGGAAGGTAGCAACTGCAAGTGGAGGGGTGTGGGGGTGGTAGGAAGTGGTGTGGGGCTTTTGAGAATTGGTGAAAGAAGAAAAAGCTTGAATAAACGAACACAAAATAAGTTAAAATGGTAATCAAAGATCTTCCCTGCTCCACCCAAAATACCCCCAGGCCCAGAAAGTTTTATAGGTGATGCTAGCGAACTTTTGAGAAGTTCAGAAGGAAAGGTCACTCTTTGTTGCGGGAGGGAGAAAAATAAGACAAAAAGCAGGCACATCTTCATGAACAGGATGCTAGCTGAGTAGGCCCTAAAGTAAGATTTGAAGACATGACAGCAACAACTTGGAATCCCCCAGGGAAACGTGTATGTTTCCTCTGCACCAATGTTGCTGCCTCCAAAAATGCCCTTTCTCCACCTTGCCTCTGATCTGAGCCTTCTGTTCCCCTTACTAAACCTGCTCTGTGGTTTAGTAGCACACAGTAACTCTGGACATCCAAGTACACAGTGAGAATTGCATAAATGTTAGCTGCTGTTGGGCTTGCTTGCTGACACGTCCAAGTTCCCGGCTAATTTGTATCCCCAGTGCCTAACACCATAGCAGATATACAAAAAATGATACAGGAAATGAACGAGGCACACAAAAGCCTAGCAAAAGCTACATACTTACTCTAAAAAAAAGCTTAGGCATAGCTGCTGTAGGCATGCAAACCAAGGCATCCAGGCTGCGAAGCCCTGAGCCCGCCCTCAAACTCTTGGCCCCATGAAATCAGGCAACAGAGGCCCTAGGTAAGCCAGAGGGCACTGAAGTTTGCCTTAAAATTAATGCTTCCTGATACGAGCAAGGTGACAGCAACCAGAAATTGCTACCCTCTCTGCACCCAGTGAAGCTGATAGAAAGCTCTGGGTGACTCAAGGCTCTAAAATGTACCATTTGTCTGGCTGTTTACTTCCCCCTTATGCAGCTCAACTACTTAGATACTTTTTCCTACTAGCAGGAGACAGATCCCAGTGGGGAGAAAAAAGAAAACCAGTTCTAGAGCCTCAAGCATGTTTAAAACTGAGCTA